CAGTGAATAAGCGATATTACCGGTAAAATTCCCTGATGAATATGTTCTTCAAAATTTCAAGTAGCAGCAGCAGGTTGCGTTTGATGACATCAAACCTTCCATAATCTTCTCTGGTCTCCAATTTGTTTTGATTGGGCAAATATGTAAAAAGTCGAATCCATTACATGTTTCCAGTACCAGACTTGAACACTGAGTTTTATTTTTTATTCCGCAATAACTGGTTTATTTTTTATTGAGTTCTCATATAACTATAAACTAACGAACCTCATCTAGCATGATCCTGTTTTTGTATCCAGAAGTTTCAGTAATCACAGATGTAACATAAGATAATATAAAAATGCATATATTAAATTCTGATTGTAACACCGAATAATATAATTTTATGTAATCAATATTTGATTTAGAATGAAAACATATTGTCCTGTCGGGGAGACCTACAGGGTGGTCCGAAAGTCTTGTCACACCATACCAAAAAGTAATGTGAACAACAAAACAAGTAATACAGTGTAACCCGGATATAAGAGACCCGGATATAAGAGAAACCCGGATATAAGAGAGATTTTCTCTGGTCCCAAATTAGAGCCTGTGTTAATGTATATAAAATAGACCAAACCCGGATATAAGAGACTTCTCCGGTCCCGACAACTCTCTTATATCCGGGTTACACTGTACAAAACACATGTACTGGATTCCGTTTATTTATTTTCATTGACGCTGTGACACATCGAAAAGGTCTGTATAAACACCATCATTTTCGTGGCGCAAAATAATGCGGCGCCATGTCCTGCGTGATATTTTACAAAGCTGTGCTTTGCTGATTGTTACAGCGGCTCTCCGAACGGCGTCCTTAAACTGATGGGTATTCTAGTATCGTTCATGTGAAAATCTCTCCTTGACTGACAGAACGTTGAAATAGAGAATTATATCGTAGGAGTGACAAGACTTTCAGACCACCCTGCAGAATACGCCCACTGCTTCATTTACAGAGGAGTAAGATCTACCCCCCCAAAATGCCACCTACTGAGATATTCCACGTGCCATGTTTGATGTCAGTTACCAGTTATCTCCAGCTAATTTCTCTCTGAAAGTTCTCCACTGCCTTAATCGGGTATTGAACTCACACTCTTTGGGTCCTGTCACTAACCAACGCCTTTATCCACTGCGCCATGTGTCCTTGAGGTTTATAATACCCAGAAATTCATACCCAGATGTCCTCGTGGAACTAGAACAGTCTACCCCAGTGAGCGAAATAAAGGGTTCAGTCCGAAATTCCAACCACCTGAAGAAGGCCGGAGCGTACAACGGCCGAAATGTTGTGATAAATATGGCGACAGATAAGGACAATAGTCCGAATAATGTAAATAATGTATAAGCTGATAGTTTAAACCTTTCTTAACGAGTAGAATGCCAAGCATGACATAGAAACCAATAAGCATATTTTGCGAACTTATTTCACCTTTTACGTTTTAAAATAGTTTAATTAACGCTACAAGCACAAAATGTACTCTCCGTACTACTAATAAAACCTAGATAAATAGTGTCTCCTCGCTAAGAAGCAAGCATTATCATCGAGATGATTATCGAAGCGTAGTTAGTATGCACGGTGGAGTAATGGATAGCGGTTCGGATTAAGCAATCGGAGAGCCGAGTTCGAATCCATTACATTTACTTGCTTTTTTTTCACACCTTTCCCAAGGATATTAGCACATAACCTTGGGAAAGGTGTGAAAAAAGTAAGAAATGCGAACCTACTGTGAGAAAAAAAATCTGCTTTGTCAGTCATGTATCGAAAGACACATGATCGCCTAAGCGTGTATCACGCATGGCACATAACTGACTGATAGTCTAGTCTGTTAAAAGATCATAAAAATTAAATCTACAATAAGATTAACCTGATAATAAATTCCTAACGGAAACCACCAAATGATCATTATAATTATCTATTCTCTAGTGATCATTTTCGCACTAATGCTCTGGGAGAAGGCATGAACCCATCTTTCTATCTTTAGAATAAATAGCAAAGTGGTCTTGGATCTTTAGTCTTAGGTAGCAGTTAGTCAAAAAGAAGAACTACTCTTCCCTATGGAAGGCAAAGGGGAACTACTCCAGTATCTTTCCTATTAAATCCTGACAAGTCACAGATAATGCAAAAGAAAAGAACGGTATCTGTATATAGCCATGAACACTTACATCCTGAAGTTACATGTCAGTCAGTTATGTGCCATGCGTGATACACGCTTAGGCGATCATGTATCTTTCGATACATGACTGACGAGGCAGATTTTTTTCTCGCGGTAGGTTGCCATTTCTTTCTGATCAGTTTCCATCAAAGGCTCTAGAACCCAGTCTGTCCTGCTATTTACCCATAGCTGAGGGGGGAGAAGAGGATTCATACCTTTCCCAAGTGTATGAGCACAGAAGTTACATGGCATTTCTTAAAATCGTAACTCAACTGGTAAAATTCCTCTTCTTATATTAGTCATATTAATTGGAATCGGGCTTACAGCCATATCACGTTGAAACATCAGTTCTCGTCCGATCACATAAAATTAAGCAATGTCGAGCCTGATCAGTACCTAGATAGGTGACCGCTGGGGAATACCAGATGCTGTTATCTTGGATGTTCGGGTGGTGTAATGGATAACGGCTTGAAATTGGAAGTCAGAGAGACGAGTTCCAATCCCAGTCGGGTTCGTCATCTTCACTTACGTGCAAGTACCCTTTCCCAAGGGTACTTGCACGTAAGTGATCCACCTCTTTTCCCTCCTCCAGCTATGGATTAATTAGTAGAATCTGTATTAGCAAAATAATTATTATCTCGAAAAAAAATCTCATAATCTCAAAAATAATTTCTGGCTTTAAATAAAATGCAAAAGATTGATAAGCCGTAAAAAACAAATCAATCAATCAATAACTGAAATCAAAGCAAAACGTTCAGTAACTCTTCCATCACCACCGCTACTATTACCACCACCATTACTGCAAATGCTTTATTAATTTGAGTTTAAAATATACGATACCCAGGCATTGCAAATGGAATTCAACATTTTTTTCCTTGTTTTTTGATTAAAAAAATATATATATTTGTTTTAATGGCTATAATTAAGTTATCTGTTAAAATCGCACCTACCATTTTAAACTTCAAACTTCCAAATACTGTGCACATCTTTAGCAAACTGCTGCGTTTGCAATTGATGTATTTATATGCTTGTAAAATCGACCAAAGAATACAGATATCAAGTGTATGCCTGTGCATGCGTCATGAATCCATTTGGAGCAACAAGACCGAAAGGAAAGAATCATAAACTGAGAAAAAAAAATGAATGCTTATTTACAAAAAGTTTCCCCTGATTGTAAATATCCGGATTCAGAATATTTGACAGACATGACTGTAGGCTTCTGCGTTATGCACACATTTTAGAAGATAAATAAGTGCATATGAAGGCATTTTATCTTTAATTCCATGCACGTATCGTTCCCGCTTCCAATCGCCATCTTTCCACGTCTATGTTGTCCGCTATTTTTCCTTTACTTTCTTACTCGTCTAAACAGTCCGAACACGCGTCTCCGTCTCTCATCGGCGAATGCCATACTTGTACTGTCCATCACAGGTTGTTCACGTTTAAGAGAACTTCATTATCAAGGTATTCTGACAAGCTGCTTTGTTTAACAAGCTTATCTCACAAGCCAGTCATGGCAACTCTAGCTTTTGTGCATCACGATAAATATCTTTTCCAAACAATTTAAAATGCATTGAGCCTACAACAAAGACAGGAAGCAACAAAGATAAAGAAAATCAACACATAGTCTATATTTCCCCCTTTTTCTCTTTCCTTATTCATACTTTTCTCGTTTTTTGTTCTTTCTTTTTTTTCCTGTCATGAATAAATACTCTTTTACAACTTATCTATTCTTACCTTTCTCCATTACTTCCAACTAGTCTTTGAAAAATTGTTATTATTGGTTTGAGATTTCACTAGACCAACCGCTAAGTCCAGAATCATGTTTTTCCGAGTTCACTTTAATTCTGAAATTTTCAAATATGTTGTTGCTTTTTATGTTTTGTGTTTTTGTTTTTTTTTTTTATACTGACCTACCCGACAAATTTCACCTGACCACGACAGCCAATCCTTTTCTGAATCTTCAATACATTTCCAAGTTACCAAAATATTTTATAATTTTTTTCTTAACTTAAAACAAATAGGTAAAAAAAGATTATTATTTGAAACATTAGATGATTTCGTATCGCATGTAAGCTGACTTTTGAATCCAGTGCCTTAGCTAAAGGGTTTTCTTTTCGCTAGATTTAACTTTTTCTGTTTGCATAGATTTTATTAAATCAAAGTTGATTGTTTTAAGAAAAGTACTTTTGTTTATTCTAATGCAATACAGACTGAAAGAATAAATGTTATTTTGGGTGATCGCTACAGCAAAACGGCACAATACAGAACATTTTTGTTAGCACAATACCGTTAAAAGGCTCTAATATGAGGAATGAATCAATCTTCATTTCAATTGAGTAATTTTAATAAAGTATGAACTGAAAGAAATATACGATCTACCTAATGGATATTACTCCATGTCTATTAATTTATAATTTCAGAGTCGTTTCCCTTTTACTTAGTCAGAAAAATAAGTATGAAAGATTCCTTGGCCACTATGCACTCTTCACTGTCAGCTATAATGACATACAAGTGGCAATAATTTAATAACAATTAATAATAATAGTAATAAAATTTAAGCTTAATGATAACTAACATTTTAAAATAATTATATGAATAATATAAATAGGAATTTATTTCAATTCAAGCGAAGCACAACGAAGGCGAGTATTTAAGCTGGCATAATATATATATATTTTGGAAGTAAAGTCTGATGATCCGCAGTCCTTTAAAAGGGCTGTGGTGAAATAATTTATTACATGGAACCTTAAAGTGGTCTGTTTTTGTTTAAAATATATATATATAAAATTTAAAATATATATATATAAAATTTAAAATATTTAAAATATATATAATCGCTGGCGACTCGTATTCGAGTATACTCGTCGACTAGGGCGGCTGGACAATCCCTATTGCAGACACTCGCTCAGGCACATTTGTGTTTGCCGAACACCCATATAGCCAACCTGTGGTTTATACTGCAACTATGCTGAGCAGACCTTAGTTACAGTTTCTGGGAGAGCGCGTTTTATCTAGCGTAATCAACAATTTGAACAAGGCCAGCACACTAGTTTTCAGACACTTTCTAAATGTGCAGCACGCTGCAATTGTCCTCTTCTAGACCGATAACATCAGGAAGTCTCCTTCCTGACATATATATATATATATATATATATATATATATATATATATATATATATATATATATATATATATCAGTGTGTGTGTGTGTGAGTGACTGACTGACTGAGTCAGTGAATCAGTGAGTGAGTATTGCTGGTGAGCATGTGTCGTGGTTTTATATATGTATTAAAAGTCCTCAATTTTCAAAAATTTGTTACATTTGTCAAATAACCATCTGTGTAATTTTGATTGCTTGTTTTGTCATCGGCAGGATGGAGACATCATACAAACTCATCATAAAAGACAAATTTAGAATTCATAAGAGTGTTCTTTAAATAACCAAGTTAAGTAAAAAAAATAGTTACTTTTTAGAATTATAATCACCATCTGTTGTGCAAAAGTCCTCCTATTTTTATTTTTATTTTTTTCTCAGAATTTGGAATAATGTTGAATTATTATTGTTATTCTGTTTGTATTGTACTTTTGCATATGGACTTAATAATTAAATTAAACAAAAAAATAAATAAATTAACTTTTGAAAACATTCCAACTTTTTTAATTTGTCAAGTATCGATTAATATTCTTTTTAAAAATATTTTTATGAAAATTTATTTATGAATTTATCGGCATGTAACAACAGCTATAGAATTAAATTGTAGATAAGTTAAAAAATAAATCTTTACGAGAAAACTGAGATATAACAAATTGAGATACAGAGATAAGAACGTAGATAGGAGGACTTTTTCGTATAAAATATAATTAACTCCAAATGAAAAGGATTTGCTACCAGGGAAGATAGAATGTGAGAGTTTTTTCACTAGTAGTTTAAATTAATTTAACTCTTTGGCTTATGAAGAGTATAAAAGTTCCGAAATATGTACCAACACTCAATAAATATATGTTATATATGTATTTATATATTTGTTGTGTGTCTGTATGTATATATATGTATGTGTGTGTTTATACCTATGTGTATTACTTTACTTCTCATTTTCTAATCTAGTGATTTAACTATTATTAGAATTCGTTCTGATATCATGAAACACCAAATCATGATAGAGAAACTGAAGAAAGGCATGCGGCCTTTAATATATTGCACCATACAAACACAGAAGTTAATATAGATAAATACTTACATCGGCATGTAACAACAGCTATAGAATTAAATTATTAATTAAGTTAAAAATTTATCGTTACGAGAAAACCCGAGATATAACAAATTGAGATTCAGAGATAAGAACGTAGATAGATAGATAGATAGATAGATAGATAGATAGATAGATAGATAGATAGATAAGTAAAAAAAGATTACTAGCAAAAAAAAATGAAGTGGACTTTTTCATTTTCCTCTCCATTTACCGATTCCTTTTGTTTATCTATTTCAGGCACGCATGCGCAGTCGCATGAGGAAGGCATTTATTTACCAAGCGGAAGTCAAATGCATCATACCGGAAGCAATTCTTTGCAGTAAGTGGGTTCTTCAGAAACAATTTACTGGGCGCTATAAACACTGGCGGCTTGCTTTGGTTTCCCGCCAAATTTATGCGCCAACCTTCCGTTGTTGATTCTCTTGATTGGCATTTTTATAAATATTCATGCCTACCTGCAAAAGTGTGTATGCATTTGGAAAAATTGACACACGTTGTGTGTGCATGTGAGGTTGGGGGTGCAAGGTGATAGCGGTTTGCGTGTGTGTATTGGTGAAAGTGAAACAAAGAATGTCCGTGAAAGATACATTGGATTAAAAAAGCATGATATCATAATTGCTAGATTTCTCATGTCTTGAAAGATTGACTCTTTTTTTTACGGCTTACGAACACTTTTCAGGTTATTTAAAGCCAGAAAATATTTTTAGAATTTTTGTTTTGTTTTGAGACAATAATGTCTTAGTGATACACGTTCTACTTAAAAGTGGTCACCCATCTAGGTACTGCCCATTCTCGACGTTGCTTAACTTTGGTGATCGTACGGTAACGGGTGTTTCACTGTGATGTGGCCGTAAGCCCGTCTTGATGAAAGAAATTTGTGTTAAACTATATGTGTATATACTGAAGAGTGAAATGTACGTGTGAGCATGAGAGTGCGTGCTCCCGCGAGCTGGCTAGGCTGATATAGGCTACTCCGAATCTATTATATCAGACAGGGCCTTCATTCTACTTTATCTCATTTTTCCTCCAATATGATCTCAGAGTAGGCTTAGCCCCCTCCTTCCAGTTTTTGGGAGTAGTTAGAGCTGGCTCGAGGTGTGCAAGACAGAGACAGAAAAAAGTGGATGCAAAATGAACACTACGATTTGTGCGACAGACATGAAGGATTTCACTGATCACCGGCTGGACTACAAAGAATAAAACGCTAATCAAACAAGCCATTCACCACGAGATTCTTTTTTCTGGGCGCTTCATAATGTACTTGTGCCAAAGTTGGCATCGCATGTGAAATACTTTTGACTAACCAAGTATTTGTGTGAGGAAATCTAGGTATCTCGGTATGATGACGTGTAGAGCAGATGGAGTAGAATATAATTTATACATGAGAAAAAAAATCATTGATTTTCATTTAAAAACAAGACATTCAGGTACTTTATAGACAATATTTATTATGTGTGAGCAAAAGATTCCGGGTTTTCCTTTTTTTTCTATTTCCTTTTTATTGTATTTAATTATTTATTGAAAAACGAGAGACAAAATGAATACACTTCATGGACGCAATTTATTAGGTGTTTGTAAAAATTAGCTTTTTTTTTTTTGTATACCAGCGCCAATATACACTTCATGAAATCTATATATTAGGTGTTTGAATAAGTTACCTTATTCATTTTTTTAAAAAGCGAAAGGTAAAATATACCTCATGGACGGTATTTATTAGGTGTTTGCAAAAGTTAAATAATTCTTTTTTTTTTTTTTTTTTTTTTTGAAAACGAGAAGAAAAATACACTTCATGGAGTCAATTTGTTAGGTCTTTGCAAAAGTTACCCTATTTATTTTTTATTTTATTCATTTATTTTATTTTTTAAACAAAAGGTGAAATACACTTCATGAACGCAATTTATTAGGTGTTTGCAAAAGTTACCTTATATGTTTTTAAACGAGAGGTAAAATACACTTAATGGATACTATTTGTTAGATGTTTGCAAAAGTTACCTTATTTATCTATTTATTTATTTAAAAAAAAAAGGGTGAAATACACTTTATGGACACTATTTATTAAGTGTTTGCAAAAGTTTCCTTATTTAGTTAGTTTATTTTTTATTTTTTTTTTTTTTTTTTTTTTTTTTGTATACGAGAGGTAAAATACCCTTCATGGACGCTATATATTAGGTGTTTGAATAAGTTACATTATTCTTTTTTTTTTTAAAACGAGGGGCAAAATAACTTCATGGAAGCTATTTATTGGATGTTTGCAAAAGTAGCCTTTTTTTTAAAAACGAGAGGAAAAATACACTTCATGGATACTATTTGTTAGGTGCTTGCAAAAGTTACCTTATTTATTTATTTTTTAAGCGAAAGGTGAAAAACACTTTATGAACGCTATTTAGTAGGTGTTTGCAAAAGTTTATTTATTTTGTATACGAGAGGCAAAATATACTTTATGGACGCTATTTATTACGTGTTTGCAAAAGTTACCTTATCATTTTTTTTTTAATTTATTTTTTTTTTTTTTTTAAACGAGAAGCAAAACACATCGTTAATAAACTTTTGAACTCATCTATTATATATTGCATGAAGTCTGTGTTTGTGCGGTTGGTGTATCGAAAAATCATACATCGAATCACGTACTAAATTAATTAGAAGCATCCTAACATTTTATAAGCACCGCATAGATGTGTTTTGAATATGTTTGTGTGCATTTGTATGTATTCGAAAGAGAGAGTCGTTTTTAAAATAAAAAAAAAATACGATTTTTAAAAAAGCAAACTTGAATTTTTATTTCTTTTCAAAGAGCGCCAGGGGAAATGAAAGCAGATGGTATTTAATAGATAGGAATGACGGAATGCTTTCAGAACTGTAGATTTAATAAGAAAATGAAGAAGGGGAAATATGGTCCTACATTTCGGGCAGAAACATGTGTGCATCTGTGGGTGATGGGATGCTACAAAGTTGCTTTATAATACTCTATAAGTAATACTGCAGAGATATTGCGTGATAATCCACTACTTTTAATACACTCCAAACAAATCTCTATCGGATTGGTAAATAAAAATCCATTATCTTAGAAAATTACTTTGTTTGCGTGTGGATACGAAACTTAGCAGATATGAAAATTTGACAAGAAGGATTTCGTTTATAGGCACGATTCAGCTTCGCATGGTCAGCAAAGTTCTTCTTGGCAGAGTCAGTCAAATCAAGTCGGTTCTCTCTGTTCACTGACGAAACCACAACTAAGTCGCACTCTGCCCAAAGACAGAGACGCAAATGAGAGATGATAAACCCTACTCGGCATGTACCAGATAAATATATATATATATATATATATATATATATATATATATATATATATATATATATGAAACAGCCCGTTGCCTCTGAGCGTTGACTTCAATGTTCACTTTTATATTTATATTTACATACACTCTATCTCTGATATTGAGCACTTTATCCCATAAATATAGCACATCTTAAAACTATATTTTTCATAATATATATATATATATATATATATATATATATATATATATATATAATGAAGTCTAAGAGAGGTTGCAATCAAGGAGGAGGCTTATACTTAATATCAGGAAGAGACAGCTGAATTTTTTGGGGGCATATAATGAGGAAGGAGGGCCTGGAGAATCTGATACTCACGGGTCGAATTGAGGGAAAGCGAGACAGGGGAAAACAACGCGCGACATACCTGGCGGGCTTAAGCAAGTGGATGACAGAACGTGGTCTGGGGGAGGAAGCAGAGGGAAGGAACTTGTTTAGAGCTGCAAGGGATAGAGGGAGGTGGAGAGCCATGGTCGCCTACGATCTGAAAGGACATGGCACATAAAAAGAAAAAGAAGGATATTTCATTATTTTCTTCTACCGGACTGAATATCCGAGAAATCATATTAACGAAAAAAAATATGCGCTTTCCGGCAAAATAAATAAATATACTGTTTAAGAAATAAATTGTGCGTCATCTACTCAAGCATTAGTATCCACTAAAAATCACTTTTAAAGTGCTAAAAATCTCTCGGATTGATAAATAAAAATCCATTATCATAGAAAATTACTTTGTTTACGTTTGGATATGAAACAGTAGATCTGAAAATTTCGAGGAATTTCACACGAGAAGGATTTCGCTTAAAGTCGTGTTTGGAATTTTGGTTGATCGGCGAGCTTGTTTCATCTCGATTCGGTTAAGGCACGTCGAATCTAACGACGGTTTCCCTCTGCTCAGAAAAATGCAGTTTCGAATCCTGCAAGAGCGCCCCATTTTCGAATATTCAGTCCGGTAGAGGAATATCTATATCTATATATATATATATAGAGAGAGAGAATTTTCATTTATCAGTCCGACAGATTTTTATCACTTTAGACTTATTTTTAGTAGATACCTTATTTATTAATTAAACAATATATTTCATTACTTTCTTCTACCAGACTGAATATTCGAGAAATACTACTAACAAATGTGCACTTTCCGGCAAAATAAATAAATATACTGTTTAAGAAATAAATTGTGCATCGTCTTACTCAAGTATTAGAATCCACTAAAAGTTTCTTTTAATTTACTAAAAATCTCTCGGATTGATAAATAAAAATCCATTAACTTAGAAAATTACTTTATTTACGTTTGGATACGAAACTGATATGAAAATTTCGAGGAATTTCACACGAGAAGGATTTCGCTTGATGGCACGTTTCATATTTGCTTGATTGGTGTGACTGCTCCATGGTTAAGATACTCTATGTGTTATACTATAGAGTTATTAAGGGACACCTCATGTGGGATACTGCAGAGATATAATATGATGCTATTTATGTGATACTGTAGAAATACTGCATGATACTCCATGTGTGATACTACAGAAAGATTGCGTGATACGCTACAAAGATATTGCATGTGATACGAAGGCGATATTGTGTGATATTTCATATGGGGAAACTACAGAGATATTTTGTGCTACTCTATGTCTGATATTATATAGATATTACATAAAACGATATATGGTACTATTGTAATATCGTGTGATACGCTATACGTGATACTGCAGAAACATTACATGATACTCCATGTGTGTTACTACAAAGACATTGTATGATACTCCTTGTGTGATATTATAAATATATAGTGTATTACTCCATGCGATACTACGGAAATACTGCATGATACTCAATTTATCGTACTACAGAGATCTTATGTGATACTGCATATGTGAAACTACAGAGATATTGCGTGATAGTCCATGTGTGATATTCCACAGATATTGCATGATATTTCATGTTGGATATTCCAAGGATATTACGTGATACTCCGTGAGTGATCCGGGAAATGAAATCGGTGGACCGTCAGATATATAGAGTTTCGTGACAGTGAGTGAGTGTGAATCTGGTGAAACTACACCCCCACATCCTATCTTCCCCGGCAGCAAATCGCTTTCATCTCCATGAAGTTAATTATAATGTATACGAAAAAGAAAATATTCACTTGCTTTCATAAAATATATAACTGCTAAGGCGCGACTTGATTGGTCCAACACGTTTTGAATAATTATCCAATGATGACAGATATTTGTAATTTTAAATAAACACATTATGGAATAGGTAAAAATTAAATTCAAATGTCATCACTAAGGGGGCTATGTAATCCCTGTTGCAGACGCCTTCTCGAGCACGTGTCTGTTTCTTCAACAACTACAGAGTCAGCCCGTTGTTAATGCTTCAATTATGCTGAGTATACTTAAGTTTATGTGTGAAAGCGCATAATCTGAATTGTTCAAAAGATTGTGCAAAGCCAGCGTGCTCATTCCCGACATCGCGAGACGGCGACAGAACGGTTTCGTCTTGACAATTTCATTTA